CACTTTTTCACACCACTGTAATTCCACTGACTCATTTTCTTTAAGTTGACTTTATATCATTATAAAACTGAACCTGTATAGTTTATAAGATTCCAGTTTATTTATCATCATAAACCCAAATATGCATCCAAAAAAATTGTGATTGGGTGATTAAGTATTTCTTATTATATGTATTTTTTAACAAACATACAGACTTCTGTTCTTGACAAATTCAGAGCCTGGACGTGTCACTTTAAAAATGTTTAGATAAATTAAGAGTATTTCCATTTCTCGAGGTTAAAGGGGACATATTCAGCTCATGAACAGTTCTTTATTGTCAGTCTGAGACTCTGCTAGAGAAGCTCTACATGATTCACTCTATAAAATCATCCTGAAATTAGTCTTTGACATTTAATTTCACACATTTTAGTTCTGATTCCTCTGCAGTATCGGCTTCCTGCAGTGGCGTTATGAACTTCAGATAAGCTGAGGTCTGATTGAAGAGGAAATTCATTGTTCTTCTGCCCCCCTCCTCTGATCATCTCATAATGAGCTCCTGCGTCAGCTGAGGGTCATCTGGTGTGACGGCCTCGCTCAGTTTCTGCACGGTTGGTCAGCAGTAACGCAGGACGCCGCTGAGGATCCCAGAGAGACTCTGAGGTCACAGATTCGTCTGTGTTGCTAACAATGTAAACTGTAAATACTTTAATTATAGTTTGACACAAAAGAACCAAACAGCTCAAAGTGCAGAATGTAAACAATGAGTCCATTTAGCAGCGTGAAAAACACACAGAAATCTTTCTTCTTCACAAAACTTTGTTTTACTTCAAACAACTGAACAAATCACACTCAATCACTAACAAACTGAAAAGGCTTCAGGATGCTTCAGACGAGAACAGCCGTACGTCCCTCTTCAGAACAAACAAGCAAGTTTCTATTGGCAGAGTCAAAGAGTGAAGGTACAGTCAGTCTGTGTCTTCCTCACAGGTTAGTTAATGATGTTACTGAGTCAATGTGAGCAGATTGTCGTAGATTGAAGAGAATCAGTAAAGTCTCAATGATGGTGGAGATAAAGGTTTTACTGTGAAGAAATATGGCCCTAAATCAGCCACTATAAGAATGGAGTTTGGTTTGATGGTGTGGAGCAGAGGGTATTTTATTCTTAATATTTCACTATAACCCAAATGTTTCCAACAATGTTCAAACTCAGAGAAATCTGTCATTTTACTCAGTTAACGCTGCGTTTCACCAGTCGCCTGTCGATGGTGTCATATCCTCTTTGTGCTCAGTCTATTAGCATGATAACATAACCTGGGACCAGCCAACGCTACTTCACCACGTCATCAAACTCCCTCTGTTGCTGTTGTTTTGATGTGAGAGACCCCCTAGTGGCAGAAATAACATATTATATACATACATATTATGGTACATATTATATACCTTTAATTGTTTGCTGTAGCATTTTGGCTCCTAGTAGCTAAAAAGCAATACATTATTATTGTTTCATGCTATTAAACTGCCAGTTTTAGAATTTGCATTTACTGCCAGTCTATTTAGAGGAGCTGCTTTCACCCAAAAGGGGGCGGAGTCATGATGCAAGGGCAAGTTACCCGGATGGGCTGCTCTCTGCATGTCCCAAAAACTCTTAAATGTTGAATTTAAGACCTCCAACTTCATTTCACTTGAAAGATCAGTGCAGAACTGGGCTTCAGTATGAGTATCAAACTTGAAGGTTCGCTGCATTTTTCATCTTCGTGTTGATATAAAAGGTTGAAGGGACTTTTTTAAAGTAGAAAATGTTTCTGTTCTCTGGTGCATGCAAACTGTACCACCTGTGAGCTTTGACTTTATAGTGTGAATGCAGCCGCGTCTCTTTCAAATCCTGTTTTCATCGTCGCTCTTCCTCTTGTTGTAAACTCCCACTCCTTCTTCTGCTTCCCTTTTTGTTGCCTCGGTGGTTCAGGGTCGGAGGAGGAAGTCTCCATCCTCTGCACAGACGCGGCCACGGTGTTTTCCCTCCCGGTTTAAAGTGGAAGTTCAGACTTTCCTCTCGAGTCTCTGCTGCAGATGACAGAAGCCACCTGCTCAGTTTCACTTTCAGTCTGTCCTCTGGTCTTTCAGCTGATGTTGCGGAGTGTTTGGTAGCTTCTCGCCTTCTGCGCCCTCAGCAGCGGCGTCTGAGTGTCCACGTCTCGAGACAAAACCCTCCTGCCGGCTCGGCGGAGACGTGCTCGAGTCCACCCGTAGACCAGACAGTTGAGGAATCCCTGAGAGGCCGAGGTGAAAGCCTGAAGACAGAAGACACTCAAGTCACTGCAGAGACAGAAAACACGAGGTGGTCCTGCACATTTTAGTGGATCATTCTGGCTCGATACCCTTTACAAGCAATACTCGGTCCCCACAGAAATAAGAAATAAGAGGCTGCAGACAGACGGCGAGCTGGCCTTCCTGCTGTTGGTGATATTAGCTGTGTCTGCTGTTGTAATATAATCAGAACAAATCTTACACTGTTGATTTAATCATCGGGGCCCAGGATTTCAGAACCTATTCGGATCCTACAGAACTGGGATACACAGTAGAAAAACTCAAATATCCAAATTTGAGATTTATTCCTCTGTGGATATTTCTGATCTAGAATAAAGGATTTGAAATACTGGGCCCAGGTTGTAACGGTGGTTGTAACATTTAAGTTACAAATACGCACTTTGGCCCCTAAAAGCACTGTTTATATTCAGTGCCTGAATTGGACCAAAGAGGTGCCAGTACATTCATTCTTTTACCATTTGTATCCGTTTTCAGTGCTGTTTTGTCCACTAGTTCCACTTTGAAGCCTCAAGTTTGGCGTTTTGGCCACCATGACAGTTGCAGACGCAGGAACAGAATCTGGATCCAGATCTGATCAGCACTGTTTGACACTTTGATCTGAGTTTGGTGTGGTGCGTTGAGCTGGACGGACTCACTGAGAATGAGCTTCAATCACAAGGTAGCCCCGCCCCTAAAGCATATATGGCCTGTTTGACCTAAATGGGACCATCAGTACTAAATGAACATCATGCCTGTTATGGAAGAAGACGAAAACCAGAGACTGAAGCAGAAACTCATCAGGAAACTGGTTTACTGAGGAATAAACTAACTGAGAGGTGGGCTCATTTCTCATAAGACTGAATGGTATTGTGTGTTATTGCAGCCAGTGAAGCCTGCCCCCTGCTGGCCATTAGAGAGAATGCAGGTTACACCAGCGTTACTTTTTTACCACCGTACTAACCGTACCTGCTAACTTCCAGATAACTTTTATGGGGGTTTCCTGCTGCAGACTGACCTGTGAGATGTAGAGGGCGACCCCCGCCCCGCCCTGTCCCGCTGAGGGCTTCACCACCTGCAGAAACGCCAGAGCCACCGCTGAGGAGACACAGAAACATCCTCAGATAAAGATTCAGATCCTGTCCAGTAACCATGGTGATCAGGATGAAGGAACCAACCTGGACCCCAGCAGAGGACAAAGATCAGCGGGTACAGGAGCATCCGCCGGTCCATCACACGGAAGGACGCCCGCTGCTGGTTGCCAAGGTAACCGTTCGACGTCACGACCCGTCTGTAAATACGGCAGGCTTTCACCACGAGGACCTGGTGCCGGAGAGATTTATACAACGGGAGTCAGTTCTCTAAATGAACACACAACAGTCACACAGTCCTTTTAGGTCTCAGCACATATTCCTTCACACCAAGTCACTCATCGTGTCACACCATGTTAGATTAATAAAGACACCTGGTAAAGACACATCATGTGATTTTATTTTGTATTCTGTTGTGTAGCCGCAGTGCGATGATGTGATCTTCCTGTCGTGTTGTGTCGTGTCACACGTGTAAACTCACGATGATGCTGCCGAGTGTGAGGAAGAAGGTGGCGAGGAAGATGGCGATGCTGTACGTGTGCAGCAGGCTGCAGGCGCTGACTGGCTGGTGTTGCTCTGAGGTGAGATACAGCGCTCCGGTGTGCATCAGCAGACACCTGGTTTGGTACGGTGCACATCGAGGGTCAAAACAAACACACAAAAATTTTAAAAGTCAAACACAATTTTCACTCAGCTTCTGTTTTAAAAGGAATGAAACACTTTACAGTTTTTCTACATTACTTTCTGACTTTAGTACTTCATAAGTGGCGGCACTTTACAATTTTAAATACATCGCGTTGTGTTTGGTTTTCTCCTCACCTGTAGGGCTCACTGAAGTTGGCCTGACATTGGCTGATGTTTCCTTGTATAAATACAGGCGTCATCAGCAGCACAGGGATCAGACTGCAGACACAAGAGGACCAGACGAGGTCAAATACATTTTATCTCACTTCCTGTCAGCACACTGGTTTTAACTCCACAGTGTGTACTCACCCTGACAGCAGCGCAGTCGTTTTGCCGGCTGTGCTCATTCTGTTGGAAAACTGCACAAAAAGATGATTTAGATGAGCTTCGGAGCCGCTGGTGGGTGCAGGTTGTTTCCAGTCTTTATGCTAAGCTAAGCTACGGCAGTGGCTCATAGTTGATGAGAGCGGTTTCTGGCTCTCAGCGAGAAACTGAATTACAACTACAAACAGACCCTTTAAGTCAGAGAGGTTCAGAGCAATCACACAGGGCTCTTCATTTAAAGGAGCAGTTACACATTTTGCTCAGACTTTGTGTTGGTGGTACCTGTACAGAGTATCCATTACTGCAGCTGTAGAACTGCTCTCGGACTCCTTTGTAGAGGTCCCACACATAGTTGAGTGTGTAGAAGAAGGAGGCCATGTACAGGATCTGACAGAACAGAAACAGAGTTTGTACTTGAGTGAAATCTCACCTGAAAGGAGCGACCATATAATGACTGTTCACACGGAGCTTGTTTGTGTGCACTCGTGTCACACTGTGAACAGATGAAGAGATAAAACCAGCAGCTGACCTCTGGGTTGATGCTTCTGAACAATAAATGTAGGTCAGGAATGTTTTTGTGGTGTTTTCCCTGGTTCTGCTGCTCTATTTCATCCCTAACTGACCCAGTTGGACAGGACGGGGTTTCAATCAGTAGATCTGTTTATTGTAGAATTTAATATTCAGCCAGATCCTCTAAATAAGAAACCTGTGTCTGTGAGCAGAATTCAGACGGCTCTGAATGTTTTCAACCTCCAACGTCGGCTAGTTTCTGTCTGAAAGTGCTTTTTCTGTCACAAAGTTGAATATTTTCGGGTTTCTCCTCTGATGTCCTGCAGCTTCTCTGCCTCCACTCTCAGGGACTTTACTGATGGACATTAACTTGTAGCTATTAGCTAACCTGCTAACGGACACCATCAATCACTGGAAGTTGAAGCTGAGCAAAATCACTGAATAAAGTCATAAAAGTTCTGCTTATGTACAGAAATCGGTGAGGCCCCCAGAAACACGATAATGTACTCATCTATAATCAACCAGACTTTTTAACAGGTTAGTTTGGATCACCAACGTCACAATGACACCAACAAACGACCCGATGGAGGCGGTGGTGGACCGGCGGCTCCTGAGAGCAACCTTCTGTGAGGTACAGGGACCGTTCTGGTGGAACTGAAGGGAGCTTCATCACAACACATCCTTTCTGCTCTTTACTTCCTGCCATCCATCTGAATCATCACTGACTGCAAACAAGCAGTTAACAGATATTTAAATAACCCAGTGATAGAACCAGAAGATGAAGAAGGTCCCAGGAATCCTGAGCACTGGAAACAGGAGCTGGTTAACAACAACAATGTGCACGTGCTACAAAAAAAATCTCCACTTTTCCACAATTATTTGTCAGAAACCATCCGGCTGTGTCTTTAAGTCCCATATGGTCTAGCGGTCAGG